TATATTGAAAAATCGAATCGCTTTGACTCTCCAATAATTTTCAACTATCATTAAGGGTTAAATCACAGGTCATTTTTTCTGTTGTTGTTTTTTTTCTCCTTCTTTTTCTATCTCATTCTTCTTTCTATCTGAACTTATCAAACTATTATCATTATTAGTCTTATTTTGCTTTTCTTTAAATAATTGATATATCTTATATTTATTTATTCATTTTCAATGCAAGTTGTAACACATCAGCCTTCTAAGTCAACAAACGACAATTTATTTCGCCTTATTTCGCACATATATTTATTGTACATTGGGAAAAGACTTCAATAAGCATTAGATTGCTTCCAGTCTAATCCTTTTCTTGTTTTGATTGTAAATATCATGTATGTAAATATGCTTATGTGAGAAAGAATAAAATATGTTTAAACCAATGTCATGTAAAAGAGCATTGTTAAATTTCCATAAACCTTTTCCATGACTAACAGGAACAAAACAAAAATCTAAATATATAATTGAATGATCAGATCTATAACTAACATCTATGTCACATTTACGTACAAACTGATACAGATTACTTGTTACAAGAAAAAAATCTAATCTGCCTTGTTGTATAGGGTTAGTTCGTCTCCATGTATATTTTCTGACATCACCATGTAATTCTCTAAAAGGGTCTATTAGGTCTTTATCTTCAATAGCTTCTAATAAAAAATTTCTAGCCTTAATATTATGAAACTTTGATTTATAATTATGGTAATCTAAGTCTGGATTCTGAACAAGATTAAAGTCTCCACAGAAAATTAATGAATCATTATCACTATAAGAATCTAAAACATCAAAAATATTTTTAAAGAAATTAGGACTATCAATGTTTGGAGCATATACATTAACTAGTAGAAAATTTATTGAATCAACTGATACTTGTAAAATTATAAAATTTCCAGAGTCATCAGTTTTAACTGAATTTATCTTAATACCTAAATTTTTCCTACATAAAATGGCTACACCCTTAGCATTTGACCTTCCATGACTAAAAAAACATAATCCACCCCAATCGGAGTAAACTTTTTTTTCAATTTCTTTAATAAAATGAGTTTCTTGTAGACAGAGTATATCAGCTTTTTTGGTATGGAATAAGTTAAAAATATCACGCCTCTTAATGCTATCATTCAAACCTCGGCAATTATAAGAGAAAATCTTAAGATTACTCATTGACAATTGTTATTTTTATACATTCATCATTATATATCCATTGTACAAAATAACTACACTTGACTGAAATTAATACATAATCCCAGTGAAACAACGCTAAATAATATGGCCTCAATAAAGTAAAAATATAGTTTAGCATGAATAAACTAAGAAAAAATAAAGAAAGAAAAAAGGAACTTGCAACAACATCCATTATGCAAAAAATTACATATGGAAAAAAGAACAGAAGACAAGTTCTCATACAAAAAGGGGAAAAAATAAAGAAAAAATCTTTACATACAAGAAAATGAAATAAGCTTTAAGAAAGTCAATGATAATTTATTTCATGTGTTAATTATGTTAGAGTATATAAGTTAGGCTTTTTTTTGTTATTTATTTATGACACCTTTTAATTTTTGAACCAAAATTGATATGAACATGACTTTAATCAGTGATTAAAAGAAAATTTTAAAATGTCTTTAAAACAATGAATTTAAAACCAAAGAGAAAAAAAGAAGAAAAAGAAATGTTATATAGTTAATGATGTTGCAACTAGAATTGCGAAGAATTGCCTTCTACAGTATGATATTATGTGCAACACAGACATCTTTTAAATAAATATCATCAAATTCTAATTTTGTAGTTGTTCCATAATATAAGTGTGATAAGCAGATGACTGGTTATAATATAGTTGTATCCTGAACCAAGCATTTTTTGTATACTTTAATATATAATCACAATTTTTATTTGAGATTGTGTGAAAAAAAAGGTTACTGTGTACAGTCCATAAGCAATAATGTATTATATGATTATATATCACATGTAAATGATTTTATAGTACATATATAAATGAGTATACAACTTAAACATAAAAGATTATACAGTTCCAAATATACATATACAAATTATTGTATAGCACATAAATACATGATTATATAGTACATGTACACATGAAAGTATAGTGTACCTATAATATATACACATGGCAGTATAGCACGTATCATTCAGTCCAGCGCAGCAACGGGCCAACTATGATTAAATTTAAAGGGAATTGACCCACCAATGCCCCAAGCCAACGATCCACACACAACCATTCACCGCATGATTAACATCATCTTTCACATGTAGTATATATATCTTCAACTTATACACATGCAATCCAACATTTTACTAATATACATTCATGGATAACATTTATACTATTTCAAGTCAAAGTACGCCAATAAAACATTATATAACTTAACAGCGTTTTATATGAGATCTGTAGTTGTAAAAACAGCTTGGGATTCAATGCATTTGAACGCAAGAAAAGTTTATTTCCAAGTCAGTATCAAGATAATTACTATAAACTCCTTTTGTTATAAACATGAGAGTTCTTGTACACATGTTTTATGTTCTATTTTATAGTTCTGTTTTTCAATTAATTATAGAGTTTATGTTGTCATAAATGTCAAATTTGTATCTTTTTCCTGTTGCTGTAGCACCATAGACACTGCCATTAAAAAACCAGGCACTTCTAATATCTGGATGAAGTGACAACCTGTTGATTAAACCCTGGTTAAGTTGTGTTACATCATCAATTAGCCTGTGGCCATCATCTTTCAGGGGTCTGCGTTTTCTCATTATTTCAATTTTTGCATTATTATTTTTCAATTTCATTAGCACTGGTTTAATATCACCTGTTTTTCCTGGTATTCTGTGAATTGCTATGATTTGTTCTTTCTCTAGGGTGATCTCATGTTTCCCGAGTATATTTTGTACAGATGTTATCAAGACATCCTCGGTTTCATTTGTTTTTACTGGCACATTTAAGATTTTAACATTATTTTATCTGCTATATTGCTCATTATAATTAGCTCTTTTATTTGCTTCCTGGGCCATTAATTTATTTTTTTCAATTTGTTCTTGTGAATTTTCCAGGTGTTGGTCCATCTTTGTTTTCATCTGATCTAGTTTTGATTTTAACTCTGCTTTAACGCTCTTTATAATTTTAATTGTCTTTGTTAAACTTATCAAAATATCCAATTCTTGGCCATCTACCTCGGCTAAATGAATACTGATTGTTTAAATGTCACTACATGTACATGGTTTAATTGTATATATAAAATTTACATTATGCCTTATTTTTATGCTGATGCTAAAATTATGCTTAAATTTATTTGCTCAGAGCTTTCTATATCCGTTTATGTTTTTAATCTTGTGTTTTGTACCTTCTATATAAATGACACTGTATACAAGTATATTGCCTACTGTTATTCTTACCTGTTTCAAGTGTTTGTGAATACATTTTTATACTTTCATTAACATTTATGATTTTAAATTCTGTTTACATACGTTGCTTGTTAGGCAATTGCGTTTGTATGTTATGCAGAAACATTTCACTAACCAATACCGTTTTAAGAAGTGTTCTTAGATAAACCATCAGTGTGACCTTGAGATCTTATTGAAAATAGCTCACGATATAACGTTAACATTTCATGTAAAGCGAAAATATAAATACAATGTACGTATAACAAAAGTGTAATCTCTACATCAGAGTGTTTCTAATATTAACATGTCACGATCTATTTTAAATAATTAATATATACGTATTTCGGTTTTCTATTAATTAATTAGATAAATCAGGTCATGCTGAATTCAGAATATATTGGATCGGTATATAGTTAACTTGCTTACAATTAGAACCAGAATGCTGAACCTAGAACAAATTGTGTTTAGATATTGCGATATTGTATGGCTCGGATATTATCTGTTTTGCGTTTCATACTGTATGACAAGATGATTTTAACATGTGCACTGCCATCACGCAGTTGTTCTTAAAGTTTTTCTCGCATCTTATTCTAATTACAGCGTTGAATTCGGTTTTGAAGCCGTTGCTTAGGGGCGTTGACAGTAGATTCAATTTAACACTGTCATATATGAGCATGCATATGTCCTGCAACACTTATGCCGTATTTAGCGATCTGGTATGATTTTTTTTCACCTGCATATATTTCTTTCGGTTACATGTGATGTGACGTAAATGTATCACCATACGCCATACGTGCATTCAGGAAAAACAATCGTTGTTTTGTGTAAACATTAGAGAATCAAACTGTTCGTGTGTGCCAAAACGTCCTAATTTAAATTGGGCTCTTTTTTCATATTTACACTGTCCGTTGTTAATATGTCTTACTATATATGTAACTTTATATGCATAATGGGGGTTCTTTGCTTTTATATTTAGAATTTATACTTTTACATGTAAAATAGATCAACTATTTGTAGCCAATTAGATAACAAGGGAACCTCGAGAACGAGTTCCAGGAATTCTTATGGTGTACGAAACTAAAATTCAACAAAGTAGAAGGGTCCTCGCATGATTTTATCTAGTCGCACTAATATAAATGTTAAAATGGCACAAAAGCAGCTTTTCGGTATATTATTAAGGAAATATGCCTTAATTGCAATGCACCAAATTGTTACATTATCCGTAGTAAATGTTTATCAAGTGTATATGCTTTCATTAAATACTGTCGAGTGCAAAATGACATTCTTGTTGATCTTGTCTTACATATTTTTTATTAATGGATGTATTCTGTTCCTGACTTAAAAAAAGAAATGTACCCGAATGATATCATAAATCTTTTTCTTTTCTTTCAAGTTTTTTTTCTTTCAAGTAAAATAAGACGCTATGTGTAGCTTGTTCTTTGTGATGGGTGGAAAATGAGCTAGGCTATCATCAAGGTTGTCATTTCATTAGTTTATTCAACGTTTTTATGTAAGTAAGCTTTATTTAGTGTTACTTGCATGTATATACACATATAACAGATCAGGGTCTCAAATAGGGTTTCCCACCTTTTATTTACTAGGAACATTTCTACATGGTTGGATATACGATTTAGCACTTCAATGTTTCTATTTCAAAAATAACACGATGGTTAGTATTCCCTTGCGTATATATTCTTCAAGAAACAAGTCAACAGGATAATAAAATCAAATGGTTTTGAATGAAATAAACAGACGACTAAACACATTTATTGGTGAAATCATGACTTAGATGGGTTAGAAGAATCCTAAATGCATTTCAAAGTATAAATCTTTACCTATATTTATTAATTTCACTAATTTAAAGCGACTTCAAAGGGAAAGAAACAATAAGTTGTCAAATTTCCTGAGTTCTTTTAGTTAATAATTACATCATATACTGAATGTATCATTCAAGTTTCAGTTTCTTGTAGTCCGGGAACTTATCACAACCAGACCATTTTATAATGATCCAGTCTGTCAGCCAAGTTGGAAGATAGTCGTAGTACCGGGCCATGGTCTGAAAATTCAAAAATATAAAATATAATCTAAGATCAACAAAACGTCGAAGTCTGCATTTAATGCTCACTTAAAGACAAATCAACATTTTCGTATGTAAAATGAATATCCTTGAAAACCCAAAGATAATAAAACAACCTGATTTACAAATATGTTTTTATTAAGTGTGAAATCAAGTGTGTGACCAGAACGTGACTATGAAACTGACAAGATTTCAGTCAGTTTATTACCAGGCAGTTTTCGGTAAAGATAAACAATATCCTTTACCGACAGTGCAAGTAGCGATATGTTTTATTTGTGAAAATTTGTAGTGAAAATTGCATCATGAAAAGTGCGACTTGTGTTAATAGTACTAGCTAATAGTATATAAACATACTGCATGAGGGTCAAACCAGATTCCGCCACCGACCAAATATCGTGTATGTGGACGTTCACTGACGATAGCGTCTTCCAAAGCGTCTATGACTGGTTTAGAGGTTAAGGCACTTCCTGTTATGGCATTTTCCTGTTTGGCAATTTCCGCGTCAACGTATTTTCTACCATATGTCTTGCGTACATCCTCCGTCGCTGTTTTCCACATCTCATCCGCCTCTTCCCTGTATCGGTCAAACTGAAGTTTCAAAAACAATATGTGTATGCCTCATTGGTGTATGCAATAGATGACTTCAAAACAAAAAATCAGCGAACTTCATAAGTCTGTCAAGCATGGAGAGCAATGTTTATTATATATTCAAGAAACACTGTACTTTTCTTATTGAATAAGTGTACCTTTAAAGGACGCTGAATAACATAGTTTTATATTAAATAAAACCTCTGATGAATAAGAACATGCGGTTCCAAATAACTTTAAAATTGACAGTTTAACACTAGTATAATGAGCAAATGACTATGCTAGTTAAACTATTTCAATTCTAGAAGAAAGTAGCAATTACAATTAAAAAGATCTTACAACATGTTTATTTTGACATGAAGTGGCACTAGCATAAGCGCCAGGTTCAATAATTGAAACCTGAACGCCAAACTTGAGCATCTCTAGTCGGAGACTATCTCCCATCGTTTCCAGTCCATGCTTTGTCACGTGATATGCTGAATCAGCCGGAAATGGAAACCGTCCCTTTACGCTTGATACAATCACAACTCTTCCTGAAATAAAAGGGAAACAATTAGACGGTAACATATCAGCTGATCACATTAATTAAAAACTTTGGAAAAAAAACTTATGGCTCCAATTAAGTAGTATGGAAATGTATTAGGACTTGGCATTTTTTTAATGTCTATTGATCCTGGTGTTCTATTAATCACGACGCTTAAGTCCATAATTACAATTTACATTTCAACCATGAACGTTTGGTTCATCAAATAAAAATAAGAGGGAAAAAATTGATGTATTTAAAACAGAAACTTCAATTTTCAATGTAATTATATTGATTAACTATTTTCTTTAAATTTAGGCTCACAACATACGACGTGTTTTATTTGCCATAAATGCGAGTGTTATTGGACTAGTCACAAAACGTGCCATCATCTCACCTTTATTTTTACGGACCATATAAAGAAAATTTCTGATTGTACGTATAGCACCAAAATAGTTGACATTCATGGCCTTCTTGTACAAATCGATGGTACACAATTCTACATCGCCCATGACGTTGAATCCGGCGTTACTTACAATCGCCCACATACCTTTATAAATAATATGGAAATTGTTAATATTTGCGAGCTCTGACTGTATGGTTCTTGCAGGGTATGCATGGATATCATTAGAAAGCTGGCGTAAATTTTGATATAACAGTGGAATGTAATTTTTCTTCCCACTTCGTCAATAATCCATAGAGAAAAGGGAATAAGAAATGTTCAGTGTGTTATGTATACAGGTAGAACTTTATTCTTGATTCTAACACGACCCGCATTTTTTCCTATTCAGTGTGGCCATACCACGTGACCGTGACGTCATTTTTGGCATCATTTCCAAGAGAAAAACCGCTCGCTTCAAACAAGAAAATAGCCGTAAGTATTTTATTTCTGCACCAATTTCTATGGGAAATGCACCAGTCTACGGGAAAAAATATTAGCTTTCCGCGGAATATTAGATCTCAATCAGTAGATGAGCCATTTTATCAAACACTTTGCATAACCTTAGAAGTTGTTTGTATACGAGCGGACTGCAGTTGCAAGCAACTTTGTTTTTTGCATTACCTGATCTATACGATGATTTAAAGACCACATTAACATCAACCGGGAATATCGAAGGCAAAGTCCTGCCTAAATATTTCTATTTTGTTACAATTTATTGCGTAAATTTTACATTTTCTTCAATTTTCAATTCTGGCACCAGTTCCAAGCCAAAATAAACGGACTACAGTTTAAAGCAGTTTTCAGAATTGACTGAAAATACGAAGCAGCGTGCATACTGTCTCTTCCTTTTATTATGTTAACCACCGAAACCAATTTTTATTAACCAAGAGATGTTTATTCTCAAAAGCGTATGCGTTTCTCTTTTTAAAATTTTACTTGCCGCGCTTTAACTAACTTTGAAAGTTCTATACAAAGATTACATTTGCTCTTTTGTGATAGTACAAATTATAGAAAAAAATCTATTTGTGTATTGAAGCAAAATCTATTATTGCACAAGTCATTTCAATTTTTCGCAATGTTTATATTTCTTTTCAGTAAATTATAAAAATAATTTATAACAATATATCATATAGAAAAATCTGAAACAGTAAAGAATTTCATCAAATTAAAGAGAATTAAACATTTATCTTCTTAAGAAAGGGAGGTGAAGCAATTTAAATCGTGAAAATAATAGTGTGAAACATGTCAGATACGTTTTCTTATTAAAATAGATTTGCATTTGAGATCATTCATAATAAAGGCAGCCAAATGTAAAGAAGAAGTATTTAGACTTCCATACAAACTATTATATTACTACATGTATGCTGTACTAATAACGAAAAATAAACAGAAGCAATATATACTTCAGTAAGTTTTTAAGTTATAAAGTTTTAGAAACAATAAAAGGCGTTTGAGAAATAAAAATGAACGTATGTATTTTGGGGCGTATTGGATCTTAAAGTATGTCTGTCTACAAAAGTTTTATATACGACTTGTTTCTTTTAAAGTTAGTTTATGGCTAGATATACAATATTTACAGTACAATATTTTATATTTCAGTATGCTGCAGTAAATGCCTTTACTAACATGTGATGACAAAACCGAAGTCAAAACTCACGCTTGGCAAGCGGTGCAGGCGAAATCGTTTCAAAACTGAAACCAGAAAGATCAAATTTCCACGCCAGTGGATCTGCACAGAAGATGAGATATATAATAGAGTCAAATTTTCCTCATGTGTCAACAAGTTGTATTCCCCCAAAACACCCCGAACGGCAACGAAAACCTTTACATCTGTTCGATCGCCATCAAATGTTAAATTCTCGACGCCAAAGAGGTCAAGTGTGAAAAGAATATCGTCCAAATCACGATCTGAATCAGAGATAACGCCGTCTAAATCACCTTTTCCAAAAAGAACTAGGAGAACATTATATACATCGGTTGCAAATATTCCGGCAAAAAAAATTGGTTTGAATGATCAAATTAATAGAGATTATTTTGGTGAAGATGACTTGAAACTCGAACAGCTTGAGAAAGAACTATGTGACGGTGTTATCAACACAGACAAAATTGACATTCCTCTTGTTGAAGAAATTATAAAGCTGATACCGTCTGTGATTGAATCAATGCGTGCGGAAGGATATGATAAAGAGTTCCTTAAGTTCTTTCAACTAGTAAACAAAAACAAATTTCCTATGAAAAATATTGCCTTACAGTTATGGCTAGAAGTGGTTAAATGGTTTGCTAGTGATAGTACGACTGAAATGAGATATTCTGAAAATACCAAAAAGTTTTGGAAACTTGGATACCGGTTATTTGGTGGTCAGTTTGTATACTTTATGTCAGGATTAAAAAACAGGAATTCTGTGTTGACAGGCCAAGCCGAGAGAGGCATTTATAGTCCTACGACTTCAGAGATTAACTTTGCTGTGCCGGGGAAGGACATTCTAACATCTTACACTCCATATGACATTTCAACAGACAGTTACGGCAGACAGCCTGGAATATTTACAGATATGTTGGAAAGCCTTGCAGCCTCGAATTCAAATGCTTCATACTGTCTAACATTTGATGGCAAGAAGCTTAAAAGAGGATTAAAGGAAACGTCAGGCGACGTTGATTTACTTGGATTTGAGCAGGATCTGTCGCTAAGCGAACGAAAATGTATTTTGGAAGAGAGGAAAATGCCAGTAAATAGGTTGTTGTGCAAATTCTCTGAAATGAACACAGTTGATAACATATGCACAGAATTAACGGATGATGAACGAAAAGAAATTTCTGACACTTTATCAAGTCAATATAAAATAGTGTCCTTAAACATATGCGCATCTAGAGATTTGAAGAAGAAAAAAGAATACGCCAAAGAGAAACTTATTGAAAAGGGAGGAAAGGATGATTGGAAAAATGGCAAGTTTGTATATGCAATAAGTGCAACGATAGCATTCATATATGATATAGACACATTCATAAGAGAGAGTATGGCGTTAATTAATGAACTGCTTATTTTCATTAGCAGCCTTAGAAAATCACCTAATGTGGTAACAAAGACGGATATAGACTTGCATAAAAGTGAACACTATTGTGAAACGGACATAAAACAACAATCAGAAAATCCAACAACTCGTCAAATAAAACAAAGATCTGAACAGTGGTTTGATCGAAGAAAACAAGTTAAAATTACTGGAAGCTCGATGTACAATGCACTAGGCTTAGATGGTTTAACTAGTCAAAAAGAACACTTTGACGTTAAAGTGGTTGGACTTCCTGAGAAGGAAAGATCAACAAAATGCAGCTCTGCAATGTTACACGGAACTGAAAACGAGATCAACGCCGCTGCTACCATGGTCGGTAAAGTCTTACCCATGATGTGTCCAGGTCTAAAAATGTACGAAGAAGGGTACATCGAACTAGATTCTGTACGCACAAAACCATTTATGATAATTTCTCCAGACGGCAGCGTTAGAACAACAGAGAGAGAAGATTGTACTACGTGTGGTATTGAATTGAAATGTCCAATTTACGATGTCCACACAAGTTTTCCCACGAAGGTATTTGTTACAATGCTTAAGTGAAATTGAGGCATTGAATGTACCAGAACTTCTCTATTTAAGCTGGCGTCCGGACATTTCAACATGCTTTAGAATTAAAAGAAACCCTACTCTATTCCAAAGGGCATTTAAGGCGGCTGTGGAGTTGTATGATGTAGATAAGCCTAGAAGACCAAAACGAAGCTGTCGGAAGAAAGCAGACTGCCTCTCTGCTGAAATTCATAAGGCTTGTAGTTCAGAAGATATGGTGGAGTTTATTGGTGTGTTCCAATCTTTAAAACATCAACCAGATACGGAAAACAGCTATGACAATGGGATATACTCGGTTCAAAGATGTGAGGTTCTGTTAAATCAGCTGATAAAGTGTTATGACGATTTCTATGAATTGCAACGAATACCAGCAACAGAGGCAGTCGTGTTCCTTTGCTGTGACCTAGATAGAAAGTGGGAAGAAGACAGGGCTCATAGTGTGCCTGTCTGTTGGTTTCCTAAAGGTGGATCACTCGATACAAGTACAATGAGAAAAATTGTCGAATGTGTTATGAACAGTTGTAAAGAAAAAGGTTTGTATGTACCTGCGTTATCGTTCGATGGCCAATGGCATTGTATTGCAATAAGAGATGAAAACGAAGCCCCACTGACGACATTACAACTTCAAAAGGATGTTTGGAATAAGGTTGAAAAGAAGTCAAAGCGTGATATAATTACTGAGTTTTGTGACCTGAACAAAGTAGTTATACGCCTAAATGAAGTTCACGCAGAGGATCAGTCGGAATCAAAATCAATTATATGTACTAATAATGGAGTGCGTTTACCTAAGATTTCAGTCAGTGTGGCAGCACAAAGAAGAAAAGAAAATGCACAGAAACGAACAACATCTGATAGCATGTCAAATGTACTGAATCCGGTACTTATAGGAGAAGACACGGAAATAAATGCAGACGAAATAGACGACAAAGATGATTCAGAAGTGACTCATATTGAATTTGAGAAAGAAGTACCAATTCAATCGTCAACTGAAGAAAAAATTATTCATTGGAATGAAGCAGACAATACTTCATTGTTGGCATTATTTCGAGTCGATAAACTTGTGAACGCAAAACAATCATGGGATAATTTATCATCCAGAGACATTTCCTCGTATTTCGTTGATGATAAATCTCTTAGAAAGCTGCGTGACTGCGAATTACGTATCATAGTACGGTACATCAATAGAACACATAAACTAAAATTGAAAGATAGCGACAGGAAAGAGGCGAAAGTCGGACAAATATGCAAGTTGTTAGGTTTACATTACAAACTATCAGATAAAACAAGAATGACAAAAACAAAAACACATTATCAACCTAAACGATTATCAGAACTTGCTCTTAAGCAACTTAATAAATCCTTAACTAAGAAAGATTTGAACATTATTTACGCAGAATATATCTGGGAAGACGATTATAAGCAATGGCAACAACAACGAAATGAGCCAAAACGGCAATTTCCGGTTGCAGACAAAGACATAGATGAACAGTTCTATTACCCATCTTTTAGCAGAAGTAGATGTCAGCTGGAGGTTAGTTGTATCGATTCATCCCATTTACTTACCAGAACGAGAAGAAAAAGTGCAAAAGGGGGTCTTGATGGATTCAGCAATCAGGCTTGGCGAAAAGTAGCAAAATCGAAGAAGACGTTGTTATCTATTGGCATGGTGGATTGTATTACTGAACCCATGACAGTATCTGTGGCTAATACGCATTTTAGCGAAGCTGTTGAAAACGAAATGCTTAAAAATGGAGACGTAAGTGAAGCAAGGCTTTGTCGGGACATTAGAAACTGGTGGCGAGCGGAAGATGAACCGGGTATTTCAGCCGAAAATCGAATAAGCCTCCGTTCAGCTTTACGATCGAGATTAATTGGACATATAGATTTTTCTTCATTTCCACCACCTGGTATGTATGTCCAAGGTTGGCCAACACAACTATGGGAGGCCATTATCGCTAGTATTGATGCAAAGAGAACTTTGTACAACATTGTCAGAAGTAAAACGTACCATGTACGAGCCTTCTCCAGCATGATGGGAGAAACTTTCTTTTCTAAAAATTTTTTTCTGCCGAAGGGGACAGGGCACATCACATGCGAGAATTGGAAAAATTCAGGGACATGACGATTGAGAAGCTGCACATGCGATTGGATCCAAAGAGGTATGGCAACTTAAAGGTTCATTCAATCTTTAAAATCTATATTGTTTTAATTTTCTCAGTTATTTTCTCATACATACATATATACATACATACATACATACATACATACATACATACATACATACATACATACATACATACATTCATACATACATTCATACAAACATACAAACATACATACATACATACACGCACGCACGCACGCACACACGCACGCACGCACGCACGCACGCACGCACACACACACACACACACACACGTACGTACGTGCGTGCGTGCGTGCGTGCGTGCGTGCGTGCGTGCGTGCGTACGTACGTACGTACGTACGTACGTACGTACGTACGTACATACATACATACATACATACATACATACATACATACATACATATATACTCAATGAATAGATAGCGTCGTCCTAATGAATTCTTGGGTCATGAATTCCCCATTCTCTTCTTTCAGAACGTTCTCGTACCGGACTTCAAGAAAAAATGTATACCAACTAGTAGGACAGTATAATTCAGAGCAATCACTTGAAATGAACTCGGACGATGTCAATGCTGACAGCAAAGCTTCTAAAGTGCGGTAATAATTAACAATAATTTTATTTAAGGTGTTTCAGCATTACAATGAACTATGAAAAGCCAGTACAATGGATATACATTTGACCAACAGAAATTACTTTTTCTGATTTTGAGAAATCTTATAATCTTATAATCTAAGTATTAGGCAGACGACATTTTCAGCAAACCTTGACAGCATCAATAAATTTTCCGACGTTACCATAAAATTTCAAAACATATTAGATTTATTATATTAACTGTTTTCTGTGTTGTTGCTTTTTTTCAGAGATCACCAATTTGATGACCCTGGAAGGCGGAGGTTAAAATCAAAAGTAAAAGAGGCAAGGCAGGATGGGAACCGAAATGCGGTTGCGAGAGGGACATTACCTGTCCGATTTGAGAATGCAAGGCGAAACGAAAGCAAATTGCTGCCAACTTTTAGGCTCGGACTCGACATGAACGATATAACATGAACACTTGTCAAAACAACATTAAGCTTAAAAAAGACATGTTATACGAATTAACATTCAAGTTACAAAATAAGTGCCTTGTTCAACGGATATAGTGCACCATACTTCATTTTAAAGATATAATCAAAATATTCTGTTTTTTTTCTTTGAAAGAAATTCAAGACAGTAGAGACTTTGGGATAGTGAAGATGGTATAATTAATATTTTGATTAAGAAATAACTGATAACAGAGTCGTGATATACCAAACATGCACACAAAGATGAGTTGAAGTATGTTAAAATGATTGCTTGTTGATTCTTTACAGAACGTGCATATTGTTTTAGATTTATATTTTAATATAAGTTGTAAATAAAATGTTATATCAAAATTTGACATGGCGTTAATTGTTACATGCTCAGCCAGGAACGTAATGTTAACATTTTATGCTTATTTGGGAAATATAAACGAATTTTGAGTGCATTGATGTAGAATTATTCACGTTTAAATGTCAAATAAACAGGAATATAATCAAGGCCTATATGCCCGAGTGATAAATTACAAGCATTTGATCGATAAGTCTGACATTATAAAAATGATAAAAGATATGTTGAACTACATTGAGTATAGAAGAGATTTCCCTGGCTTCATTTGATTTATTGACGTCACATGTTGCGCAAGCATTGAAAGTTTACATGTCATACTTTTTTACGGCATAACGTATGATTCGTTATGTTGTGTATATATCGAGTCATTATGCACTTAATTGGGCTATCCTTGTATGAACCGTATACAAAAATATCATAAACTCTCGCAGCCATATTTTTGGTCTGATTTGAATGAGTAGATCCAAATGATATTACATTGTGATTTTAATTGATCACTATGGACTTTCATTATCATTAAGGTTTTATTCTTTGTGTAGAACAATTTTATTTTTCAATATCATCAGAATCTTCTTGTTGAAATTTGTGTCTCGTATACCTGATACTTTAGTAATATGAAACCAGCCAGCTTTAGTACTTTGATATGTTTATTTACATACATTGTAATTAATAAACAACATAAATAACATAAGTACTTTAAAATCACAGTAAATTCAATTATCACAGTCAAATTTCTTGAAAAATATGGGAAAAAAAACAATACACAAATAAAATAATGATTACAATGATTGAGTAATTCTATACTTACAAAAGACACGAACATTAAAACATGAAATATACTGCATTACTCATGACTCTATGTTTATTTAGCATATATGAAAAGAGGCCCACGGACGTCATGAGAAGTGAACAAAAAAGTAAATAGCATAATGATTTGACAAACATACACTCAATTATCACAGTCTAATTTTTTGAAATAAAACTTGAAAATGAAAATAAAAATGATTATCGACAATAACATTTTTGAAAATGATTTAATGGTGAAGTAGAATAGTATAGATATTAAAATGATACCCTCATTGTCCAAATTTATTTGCAGAAATTATAGCTAACTTATTATTATAGAAAATTACGGTTACATTATTACCAAGCAACTTACTGTACGACTTAACAAGTCAACAATTTATTCAATTAAACAATCCTAATACTGTTGACATTGTTTCGAGAGCTAATTGTTATTTTGATCAGTATTATGCGTCTTCTTTACATGTTTATACACAGAACTACTGTGTTTATATCTCTTTCCGCACACATGACATCCGTGTCTTCTGTCTTCACTGTGTGTGGCCAGATGAACCTTAAGGTCATCTTTGGTTACTGCCTTGTGACCACACACATCACACGTACACATTTCATTTCTTGCTTCCCTAGCTTCGTGTAAAGCAAGTGTCTGGGCCCTGGCAAAATCCCTTCCACATGTCTTGCAGACGAACTTTTTGGTTTCACCATGAACAGAGCATCTATAAAATAAAATTTATATGTGTACAACTGAAGAGAAAAAAAACCCGGAAAATTTGACCATGATAATGTATTTACCTTTACAATTGAAGTGCTACATATACACACTCTGATAATAAGTGGGAAACAATCAAGTTTAGTTTCTGAAACACTATTAATTATGGCAGTTTCTAAACAAAAAATATTGTGTTAATTCCATTTTATAGCAGTATGTACTCATGTAAATATTCACGATATTCTGGCGGAATGAGATTTTATCCACTTCATGACATGAAACTTCCATAATATTAATCTTAATTAACAACATAAACGTTATAAAAAAACTTGAATCTAACGTACAAAAGCACTGTTGCAGTTTTTCCTAGTATATGTATAATTGAAGGTTAAAGTAACTCTTTACAAAAATAACACTGAAAGAATTACCTGTGGCTTTCCAACTCTCGCGATGAAGCAAATCCCTTTCCACAGCATGTGAAAGGTAGCGTCCCAGAATGTCCGCGTTCATGAGTTCTTAGATTTCTCTTGTACTTGAAACCTTTCCCGCACTGAGAGCATACAAATGTGTTGTCAGCCATTCTGAAATAGGAGAAAACACGATATATTGCATAAGATAAGAATTTGATTTAAACAACTTCAAACTGTGCCTAAATATTTAAATTTATCACACACCCATGCATATTTTGCGACTCCGTAAAAATGTTATTGCACGGCCGTGCATATATTTTGACGTGACGTCATTAGCGTTATACAAACATAGTGTAAAGACGCGCTAAATGTCAGCGTTATACTATATAGGCGCGCCAGTGAAAAATGACTCTATTTCACTTTAAACGGTCTTTATTTTGGGTGTGTCATAAATAGAATATTAAATTCAAGTTCATTACTGAATTTATTGAACTCGTTGAATAAAATGATATTATGCTCACCAAAGGCTCGCATAATATAATTTTATTCAACTGGTGCAATAAATTCAGAATTTAACTTACACTCATTCAATATCCTCTATATATGTATATGGGAGCCCTAAATTTGTTTGATTTGACTCCATTCATGAGTGCGAAACAAGTAACTGGTATAGCTTGCACAATCATGCCTGTGTAATTACGAATGAGCAAATACATTTCATTGAACAGTGGCCAATTTAACGACCATCAAAGTTAGATAAAGCGCGGCAAGTAAAATTTTAAAAAGAGAAACACATACGCTTTTGAGAATAAACATCGTTTGGTTAATAAAAATTGGTTTCGGTGGTTAAAATTATAAAAGGAAGAGAAAGTATGCACGCTGCTTCGTATTTTCAGTCAATTCTGAAAACTGCTTTAAACTGTAGTCCCTTTATTTTGGCTTGGAACTGGTGCCAGAATTGAAAATTGAAGAAAATGTAAAATTTACGCAATAAATTGTAACAAAATAGAAATATTTAGGCAGGACTTTGCCTTCGATATTCCCGGTTGATGTTAATGTGGTCTTTAAATCATCGTATAGATCAGGTAATGCAAAAAACAAAGTTGCTTGCAACTGCAGTCCGCTCGTATACAAACAACTTCTAAGGTTATGCAAAGTGTTTGATAAAATGGCTCATCTACTGATTGAGATCTAATATTCCGCGGAAAGCTAATATTTTTTCCCGTAGACTGGTGCATTTCCCATAGAAATTGGTGCAGAAATAAAATACTTACGGCTATTTTCTTGTTTGAAGCGAGCGGTTTTTCTCTTGGAAATGATGCCAAAAATGACGTCACGGTCACGTGGTATGGCCACACTGAACATAGAAGAACCGAAAGTGTGTGTTATTATGCAATAGAGTCACTGTTTGACGTTCTATATTTAGGCATGTGACGTAATCATTATACATGTGACATAACCACTATAAAATCCGACGCGCTGACAATAAGTACGGAAACAAATCAGGTGCAATTTTGCTTAATAGCAGGTACGGCAGCATTTTTTTTGTTTATGTCGTGTTAGAATCGAAATAATATATCCAAATCGGTTATTTTATCGCTGGATAACATCACTGTTTGTCGTTCGGATGCGCATCATTATATCACTCGGGCTACGCCCTCGTGATATAATTCCTCGCATCCGAACTCCAAACAGTGATGTTATTGAGCGATAAAATCACAGTTTGGGATATATTATTTCTTAAATAAAACATAAAGATGTGTATGTTGATGTAATGTAATTATGTCCCTAAAATGTGCAATTACTTGTATTAAATTTGAGATCAGTATATCCATCATAAAGAAAGCTTTGCAGAAACAGCTTATGCTTCGAGTAAAGCAAACCGACCACTATTTGGTAGATGTTTTACAACATAGTCATGCGCTTCCTGTACACTTTCATCTGATCCAACATCTAGGGGAACAACATGCAGGCGTTTGGATGACGCTGATTTTAACTTCTTAGCTCCGTCACCTTCTGGATGAAGACACCCGGCAAAAACTGTAAACTGTAGACTGTCCAGTCTTCTAGCCAGATCATGTCCAAACCCTGTAAAGACAATAAAAGAACACTATGCGTCCCACTGGCGATGTTTTGCTTTGGATGTGTGCTCTCTCATGCCCCCTTTTATTTGCCACGCTTTTCTAATGGTTCAATACCATGAGATACAGTACCAAGACATATATCAGAACTGAAATTAATTATCATTAATAATTCTAGTTTTACCCGTTATTGCAATCAATCTGCATAACTTTAAATATGCTTCTGTACTTATTTTGTACTGCAAGAGTGCATAAAGAGCATTTTTACTTGAGTGTTCATTTTTTGTTTGGGACGTCAGACCAAACAAATAATGGTAGCGAAATTTCAGACCCTGATGTTCTTATTTGCAAATACCGAAAGATGTCCAAACTCCTCGAAGCGGTTACTTCGCTTCATATGTGCATTAACGCCGAAAAATTAAGGCGTGTTCACTGCGAAAAGATTGTCAAATGACAGGCGCATTAATTTTCGTAACGAAAAAATAGTTCCCGATTCGAAGATTTCTTATATTGTGTTATTCTTATAGATATACATGCTTATATTCAGCTCCATGATTATTTACTTCAGTGTAACTGTTAAACAACAGGTTTACCGTGAACAAAATATATCGAAATTAATAAGGGTTACAAACTCTAATTTAGAATAATATGGTATTCTTCAGGCTGTTATCTTATAGCTCCCCATGGGCGAGGGGTTAACACGCTCGCTTTGGAAGCGAGAGGTCTAGAGTTCAAATGCCATTTCAGGCAACTCAAGGTTGTTTTGTTTTTTTGTTTTTTTATATATAAATTGTTTAAGCCAAATGAACATTGAATTGAATATCAGTTTTGCAATTAGTCTTATAGCCTTATAGCCAATTTATTATAGTTATAACACTGGAAACAGCATTGGTGACACTATACAAACAAATTGGTTTATAATCTTACAACCTTCACCTTTCTGACACAAATTCAGCGCCTTCTGAGCATTGATTTTTAACACGTTACTTGAATATTTATATCTTGATACGATTTATCTTGCCGGTAGAGTACATTGATTAACAGAAGTTAAAAACTTAAAAGACACGCGTCAAAATGTTTTAACCCAGGCGTTTAATGCGTTTAAAAATTGAATTGCATCTAAACATGTTGAAATAGTTGTACCATCTGTCAACTGTAAAGATGTAGAAAAGTAGGTTATTGTATAGATAAGCAAGATAAGAGACTTTAACGTGACCTGAATATACATGTAGTACAAATGTTAATGTACGGTAAAATATTATAATCTAATAGTCCGTATTACATCGTGCACTAGTAAACATCTTTTGTATTTAGCGAAAAACAACCACAACAGCAATGTATTCAGGATTAAATTATGTAGAAACTCCATTAATTCGAGCCTACATTAGATAACTTTAAACAATATAATTAAGCGTGAGGTTTTCTATTTTTTATTTATTTATTTATTTCTAAACATGTTGAGTTATATAGTAGTACAAAATATACCTGTATCACAGCCAGTGATAAAAACACCTTGGTGTTTAATCTCTATTGTCCCTGTAGATTTTTTACGAATAACTTTCAAACAAACATAAAGTGTAAACACTGATATCAAGTATGCATAAATCGATGCACTAACCACAGAATAGATTACAACACAGAATGTTATAAAATATGTAAATTCAACAAGTTTAAGATCAATTAAATCCAAACCAGCCATAATGTCAAAGACTAGCTGACGAATCCAGTAAGAAAAGTAAATGTACTTGGCTAAAGATAACGCATTACAGGGTCACTGATCGCAATAGGATAAACTCATTCTGTTTCACAGTTATATGGAGCGCGCATTTTTCATACACCACAGTGAAAAATGTTCCCATGTATATCAAAAAACGAGCTTAAATTTTACGCATGATTACACTTACTATATAATTTGAATGATTTTGTAAGTGCAGTTTTTAAGCTCTGGATTATGTACAGTCAAATAAACTTATTGAAATTAAGTTGGAGACATTCCCAGCAAACACCCGACGTTGACCCAACGTTGGATCAACGTTGAATTTTTGTCGCGACGTCGGTGACCTTCATACAACGTCGAATCGACGTTGAATCCCCGACGTCTAACAGACGTTTCATTTTGACGTCGACTCGACGTCGGATTTTGGTCGGTAATCTGACAATAGGTGAATTTAATTTATGAAACCAATATATATATATAAATGAAAGCATAAACAGCGAGAATTTTAAGTTTAAGTTTAGAAAGGGAACATTTTATATTTATTTTCTCCATCAAAACAACAGTATCACGTGGGTGGCTAACGTACGATATTCGATAGGTGGCGCTCTGTAAACGGATAGTCGCAGATCAGTATGAAATATATTTGCTCTATTTTCGTTTAAACAATATCTTATCTCCTCGAATTAGTCTAAGAAGTGTTTATATAATTTACAATGAAGTGTTATCATTTTTGAGGGCTTCATTTTATAGTGGAAAATAATTTAGTAAATTCGAATTTGCGACTTATAGGATTTGAAATTCAATTGTTTTGGCGGACAAAAAAACGACGGGTTGACAGACAAAGTTGTATATTCCAAACAAAAGAAAAAGGTAGGCAAACATTATATAATGTTTTCAATGCTAATTTACCGCATGTTTGCATGTAATCGATGGTTATTTGATCATTGAAATGTTTGACTGGTAAAACTTAATGTAACGTGATTTCGCGAGATAAATATTTTTGTTTCCACGTAAGAACACTTTATCATTTGCTATAGAACAGTCTGTATAATCGGATCATTTTTCCCACACTATATCGCCATGCCAAATAAATGCACAATCAATGGTAGGAAATATCCTAGCAATTGAAATCAATAAAAAGTTAAATGCAGTACGTAAGACTCTTATTATTCAAATGCTGGTAAATAAAATTTCCTCTTATTTCTTATCAACATGAATTTCCCTTATATGAGGGGCCAGTCATTTACACATGTATCAGATGCAGTTTGATTTTGATATCTGTGTAGTTGTTAAACTACTCGTTGTTAATTGAAGTACTTTACCCATACTGTTAGCATACCATGTGTTTCTTATATTATGATAATGATTCATGGCATTTGATACATGTAAATGATACGACTTTGGTAAGATATATCTGAAAGCACATTGTATTCGACTAGCTATCTTTTTATTAATGTAATCAAACAACATATTATCAATCAGAAAACACATTATCATAGTTATAAATCAATAAAAGTAATAGTTTGTTAATTAGCCTGCTTATCAACAAGTTGTATGCTCGTATCATAAAAAGTTTTTACACTAAGCCAGTCTGTCCTATATACACTTAGCAGATCGGATCATGCTGGGCAGAGATAATATCTATAAAAATGACAGTAACATGTGAATTTCTTTGATGTTGTATGAGCATTTGTACAAAGTACATTGAATATAAAAAAAAATAACAGTATACATTTTTGCGGGAGTAGAATTAATTTCATTTTGGTATTTGTTATATCAGTTTTTCATGCGCTTATGAGTTAACTAAGATTAATAGTAATTGGATTTTGCCTATTGTATTAGACAAACATCCTTCCACCACATGGTTAAATTCTAAAACGATTATATTTCGTCTTTCAGATTGTGAAAATTATGATAATTCAACATGTGTCAAAAGTTCAGGAGGAAGATGAAAATATTTAGAGGGAAAAAAAATGAAAACCTACCAAGATTTTGTGACAGGTATATTTCAAAATATTATAGAAAATACAGTGATCTTATTACCCTTGATTTTATAATGAAATTCACGTAGCCATTTTTATCAAAATTAATAGATATAATAATTTATACAGTAGGTACACAAAACTACATGGTTTAAACTAAATTAAAAATAATAAGTATCTTTTTAAGTAGTTGGAGAGTTTTGTTAGAATTTCGTTTAATTATAATATGTATAAGTGATTTATTTCTTGCACTTGTAACTGATTATTTTATTTTTTTTAATTTCAGAAAGTGTGATGAGATCTCAGGTTGGAGACGGTAATACGCTTATAGTATGCCCCAGATCGACATAGTGTAGGAGGACGAAAGAAGCTAGAATACTAATGAAGATACATGAACATTGCTATTTATAGTTATAACAAAATATTCAGAATATTGTTCCATTTAACATTCAGATCTAGATTCAGTTATAAAATACAAAGACAAATATACAATCAGTGAGTTGGATAGATGATTGAAAAATCCCAAAGTCAGAGTGATTAGTTCAGTGGTGATATAAGAAAAAACACATGCATGGATGTTTGCTATATAAAACGCGGTGTTAATATTCAAGAAGGATTTTGTTTATCTTATTTCTAAAACATGCTTAATTAATACATGAAGCGTTATTAAAGTACATACCGTCAAGTTTAATATTTTCAAAAAATATTATGTAAATCTTGCATTTGTTATAGTACCACATTTCTTGTTTTGTACTTGTGATTCCGAGTATAAAATAAATTGCTAAAATCATAAGAATGCTTATTTATTAACCCTATTAAAGAGCTTCAAAATGAAAAAAATCATATTCCAAAAGTTTTGAATGAGGTTAAATCATGGTCAGAAAATTTGGTCAGATAAGGTTGGCATATGGTCAGATAATGGTCAGAAAAGGTTGGATTATGGTCAGAAAAAGGTTGGATTATGTCCAAATAATGGTCAGATAAGGTTGGCATATGGTCAGATAATGGTCAGAAAAGGTTGGATTATGGTCAGAAAAAGGTTGGATTATGTCCAAATAATGGTCAGAAAAGGTTGGATTATGGTCAGATAATAGTCAGAAAAGGTTGGATTATGGTCAGAAAAGGTTGGATAAAGGTCATTTTATGACGTTGTATAGACGTCGGTTTCTGACGTCTAAAAAACTTTCAAATCCAACCTTCTGCCAACGTTTACCCAACGTCAGGGTCTAACGTCAGTACAACGTTGGTACAACGTCTTTTGTTTGCTGGGTTTGCGTCATGCACATAAACGAGAAAATAAATGGGTGTAACTAAATGAATTGGGATCAGAGATTTTGATTTTGAAGCCTGCATATCACAGATATAAGACGTTAAATGACAAGGTTAAAAGGTAGGCAATATATATCCTAAAGGTGATTCAACATTATTCAAATAGGAATAATGGAACCACCCAATTAGAATTAAAAGGCCAAATAGTAAGAAATAAAAATACCACAAACACAACAATAATGTGCTGAAAAATCTTTAAGGATCGGTGATAAAACATCTCTGATTGAATTTACGGGCGACATTTTACGGCCTCCACACGGCACATAAACAACACTGATGTGGCGATATAATACTAATAGGGAAAATAAGAATCCCTAAAGAAAGTCCAAAACGGCAAAATTGAAAATGTTGCAGGCTCGGTTTGATTGTGCCTGTTCATGGACAGTACTGGGAAATGCAAGTTACCGTCCACGCCCCCTAGCACCGGCTTAATCAGATTAAACATGTTGAAATTTTGAATTTAGAAACATCCCCAGATGTGAAGCCACTTTTGATATGCAGTGTTATTCCTTTCCTGTTTGAGTTTCCCCGGGCGCCGTGTTCACAAAGAAAAGATTAGGATCAGGATTTAAGCCGTTTTGAAAAAAATTCATATTTCAACATCTATAAGAGTATTAATACAGACGTTGAAATATGATTTTTTTTTCAAAACGGCTTTAATTAAGTTTATATATATATATAATCAGTACATGTGCTGGGATTGACAAATATACATTTTATTTGGATTTTAAACTTCACACCCCAATTTTAAGTGTCTGTGGTACATTGTATCATCTTGCCATGTTGAAAAAAACCCCATCTAAATAGCGATACAGCAGATAGATAACATCTACATCTCTGGCTTTGCATTGAAATTAAATTTACTCAGCAATATAATCTCGTTAAAACAGCTCCTGTGGAGCAATAACAACTGAATAAAAGTGTTGTTTTTTGTTGTGTTTTTTTTAACACCTTTTAGATAAATATCTTTGGGTTAATACGGTCTCATATCATAAAAACGCTTTTCTAAAATAAAAATAATAAGCGTTTATGTTTTAGATCACACGGCCGAGTTTGGCATTTCCGCGCCAAATAATTTACTTTTGGCATTAAAATTACAAAAAGCGAAGATGCAAAAGTGTCCAACTTGTCCTAAATGTTCTGGACAATTTATTGCGAAAGGTATTATTTGCTGTCAATGGCACATCAAATTTTGAATGTAAAATTACTTTGAGAATGTAATGGATTTCGGATAACATGAAATACGGTTAATTTACTAGTCTACTGCTGTATTAATATGCGTAATAGTCAGGTGTATTGTTATACGTGGATGTCAAATGCTGTGACCTCTAAGCGTGTTTATTTAAGAGGAAATGAGATTAAAAAGAATATATACAGAATTCAATTAAAATCTACACCTATCAAATTATGAAAATTTCTGTGTTAAGTTCTAGTCAGGCACTGCCATTTTCAATGTAAGTCAATGATAATAGATGCAGTATTTAGATAACAGAACATTCGCAACCTTTCAGATTAATAATATTCTTTAAGTGGTCAGAGTGAAAAGCGAAATGCATGAAGTACCAAATGACACCTTTAAAATGGAAAAATGAATTATTTTTTTTTTAACCAACTTCCACATTCATAGGCTTTGCCTAACTTCATAATTATTATGAAAATTCAAAGCCTCAAAGCGAGTTAGATTTAATTTTACTGTGAAATAGTATAAAATAATCGTTCATTTTTATTTTACATTTTCCTTTTTAAAACTGTCATTTGGTATTTTATATACTGCTTCCATTTATTCTGTTTTCTGTTTTCCTGTCCTATTATGGTTCCTAGTATAAAGCGCCCAGGTCACCAGTCTTTGCATCCATTCAGAATTACTTGGCTTCAATCGTTATCTTGTAATTCGAAAAGTTGCAATGTGTCAATTCAGTACTTGCAACAAAAGTTTTCAAAACCATCACTATTTAGCAGGAACTCATGTTACCTTAAAGCTCACTTTGCAAGGAGGCCTTTCGGGCCAGCTCTTTGAGCTCGCTATTAATAATTAACATCAATTAAAGAATAAGAAGCATTTCTTAGTCTGTAAAAGGAAACTGTGAGAAAATACCTACATAAGTTTTCACTTACACATGTAGGTTAAAATATGCGCTTGATAACAAATGTTTTATTTTGATGTCAACCATCTACCTGCCATGATTTATATAAATTTTTATCCTTAACCATGCACACTTATCAGATCAATATAAAAACTAGTGACAAAACATTTTTTTTTTAAAAGATATATCTACTTCGAATATAAATTACTACAAGGTATTTCTCTGACCATCTTCTCAAGTAACGGATCTGACGACGTCAGAATATATTAACTGAACTGTTATTCGATTCAATAATTGAAATGCGCATGCATGCAGGGAAGCTTGCTCTTTCTCTCTCTCTCCCAAACTTTTAAGCGCTAAATTGTTAATGTTAATTTCATCTGCCAAACAAATCAGCACTCCTGAAATTGAATTTGGCACTTGACACCATTTTACAGTTTATGGGAGAGAAAAAAAGTGAGGTACCCTACGTGCATGTGCATTTAAATAGGGGAGTCATATTAAGGACGTTTTCGGGAGTTTTCATATAGACATATAGGCAAAATTAAAACTGTTCAATAGAATGTCTTTAAACTTGGCATGTTGTTAGAATATGATAACAGAAACATTTTAAGCGTAAAAAAATTTGGGGTCACCGTCCTCGTTTTTGAGTTATCTGCCCCTGAATTCAGACTTTTCTACTTATGTGAGGTCATTTCAAGGGCAGATAACTTATACATTTTTAAATTAATTCTTGTTTTTACTTCTGGATTATGGTTTTCTTTTTATTGTTGAGTACAATACATAATAACATGCAATTCCTTACATCGTTTCTGTTATTTTTTTTCAATGAAAATAAAGGTACTTTAAATTCTTAAAAAATAGGCCATTTTTTAAGAAAAAATTCACAGGTTAAAAGAAGAAGTGGGAATAAAAACTACCCACTCTAAATTTGTTCTTGAAATTTTGTGTATCAACTAAAACGAAGGTAATCTTCATGAAAAGAAGAAAAAAAATTGTATTATTTCCCTACATTGTAAATTATCTGCCCTTGAATTTAACAAAAAAAATTCCAATTCAAGGGCAGATAACTCAAAAACAAGATCGGTGACCCCAATTTTTTTTCGCTTAAAATGTTTCTGTTATCATATTCTAACAACATGCCAAGTTTATAGAAATTCTATTGAACAGTTTTAATTTTGCCTAAATGTCTATATGAAAACTCCTGAAAACGTCTTTAAGCCAATCAAAGTTGAAGTATTATCATGTATAATAAGATAATTCTTTTTACAGATTGCTTTTTCTTTCAAACTGCTTTTTCTTTCAAACTAAAGGCAGCTCTATTTTGATATATTTCAGACAGTGGTAGGTTGCACAAGAGGCCTTTGGTATTGAATTGTGGACATACATATTGCGAGTCATGTCTGCTTCAGCTAGCCAGGGAGAAAAAAACTAGCATTACCTGTCCAGCATGCAAGGTAAATTATACAGGGTATTTTTTTAACTTTATGGGAAATGTTCATATGTAGATTTTCAGTAGATCTTAACATTTGCTAAATAAACTTGCCAATTTGTGTGTCAAAATTGCTTAGTTACCAACCAGACTGTATGTTTCAAGACCGTTTATTTTGAGTAGGAAAATGCCATACTGTATGGTTCTGTACATGGTATTTCATCATACTTTGAATTAAACTTTGTCACAACCATTACAGTAAAATATTCACTATGAAAATTATAAAAAAAAAAAAAAAAAAAAAATTCCTCCCAACTTACTCTCTTTAAGTGTAAAAGACCAGGGCTGCGTTTCAAAGAAAGTTCTAATTGTAACCTAAGTCCTAGGACTTATGAAAACTATAGGACTAACTTAAGACTGTGTCAACAAATATTTACATCTTTAGTAAAAGTTTTAGACTTTTATCAAATTCAGTCTCCATGATTGGCTACCTAGATACTGAACAATTTTATTTTCGCCTAAATTAAAATATACTACAAGTGAATGTTTTGTTATTGACAGGAAGAAACTGGCCTGGCATCAGGGGAGAGTAGCGTGAAGCTATTATGTCCTGACAGATATATTATGGGTACAGTAATACACAGTCAGAAGATGATACTACAGCAGTAAGTAAACTACATTGCATATATGTAGCAATATTTTAGGCATGTTTTAACCAATCAATAAAGAGGCATATCAAGATTGAAAATATTTGTCATATGTTGCATCTCGGATTGGAATATCTGTTTCATTCCTAAATTTGCCATGTGTATAGCATGGGACTCATCTGGCACCCCTAATGCCCTATGAAATTTCCAGCATGGGTAAAACTATCGGAAACACCAGTCTGATATCGTATGCAAGAAAAACATTTTTCCTAAGCACCTGTTAAAGATGTAATTTTAATTATCTGAGTAAGTAAAAACTTAAGTTGAGGGAACTGGTGAAGATGTTTCTGGTGATAAAGTCGGGAAAATAAGGAAATCTGGTTGTTAATCTGGATTTTACTCTTGATTTGGACTTTTTAGTCATATCTCAGGTGCATTGAACGCCACCCTTCAAACCTTCCCGAAAGTTAAAAAAAAGTGTCAGACATTCGGTCTGACAAACCATGAAAATCTGTCGGACCGAAACGAAATCTGTCAGACCGAATAAAATTAATCAAAATCAAAGGAAAACTTGTGTTTGTATTTCTATGACACTTTTGGGTTCCAATTTTTTCGCTACTTCTCTTCATACCAAATATTGGATAAAAATGGTACCCAGGGTTTTCATTTTTATCTTAGGCAACAGATGCCCCAAAGAAAACAACCCATTTTGCCAAGGGTCAAGGGTGATACTTTAATATACAGGCTGAAAATATTCTATGTTTAGAACATAATTGAATTTCCATTATTTATTTGATGAGTTGAAACAGAATATATGGGTAACAATCAATTATTTGGTGAGTGAGCGTAATAAATTTTTTTTTAAGTAACCATGATTTTTGTACAGGAACTGCAAGCATGCCAATATAATTGAGCCGCGTCACGACAAAACCAACATAATGTGTTTGCAACCAACATGGATCCAGACCAGCCTGCGCATCCGCGCAGTCTGATCAGGATCCATGCTGTTTGCTATCAGTTTCTCTACTTGTAATAGACTTGGTAAGCGAACAGCATGGATCCTGATCAGACTGGGTGGATGCGCAGGCTGGTCTGGATCCGTGCTGGTCCAAAACCCATTATGTTGGTTTGGTCGTGACACGGCTCATATATATATATTTACAGAGAATTGATGAAACTGAAAGAAGCCAGTGAGATAGCAGGGACAAGACGACATTTGTCAGCAGGTTGTTCAGATAGTTCACTTTTGTTCAATGAAGTTGATCCAGGTAGTTCATGTTCAAGTTTAACACATAAGGCTCCTTTTATAGAAATACTGCAAATGTTAAAATTTTACCTTGCTTTTTCAGCAGTTGCTGGTTATGTAACTGTTTAGCTTTGCGACAAAGCACATTGTCATAAGAGTTGCTAAAGATATTCTCTATAACTGCCATTTCTCTTTATAGATGATTTAATAGAAAAAAACTTGGGGATATTTTATATAACATTAGTGGATTGATAACTGTGTGGTCATAGGGAGTAAGGTCATGTGCAGAGCAGGGTGTCATGGTAATTTATGTGTGACCATCTTTATAAAAGAAATAAGGGAACTAGTGACCCAGTATAGTATCTTCTGCATGCATTGCTTTGTTTGTGTTCCCTACCAAGAGTATTAAACTTTTACGAAAAAAAAAATATGTTGTAACGGTATGGCACCTGCTCAGAAACATTTGTTCAGGGTAGAACTAAAAGTTCTTATTAAGTCAATTTAGCACAGAAACGCATTTTTGAATGGAAAAGCGGTGTCCAAATTAAGTTCATGCTCTATATCACATCCTGTATTACATGTATATGACATCCTGTATTATACCAGGTATTAGTATCAATGTAAGTGCCACATCCAAAGTTGGGAAATAAAATTTACTGAAGCCACCTTAGCAAATACATTTTAGATCTCTATGGTAGTTAAAGGTGATGAACAAACAGATTGCCTTTGCTACATCATGGCTACATTTATTTTAGGCATTTAGATTTGCTCATGTCTGTGTGTATGTATATACTTTGGATAAAGTTATTGCCCTTGACTTCGAAAAAAATTTGCAACTTGTGTCGCGTGTTTGACCTAGAGTCATGAAACTTTACAGAAATGTTGGTCAGCATGTGATGTTGTGCACCTGGGGGTTTGTTTGTGAATTTATTTAGTATTTGTAGAGTTATTGTCCTTACTTTATAAAAAGTTACCTGTATTTGTACAGTAACTGCCCTTGACTGAGTAAAAACTGTTTAAAAATGTTGTGCCATGTGTACCTTTAAAAATGCTTGAGCTAGAATCAACAAACTATACATGATTGTTAATTAGCATTTGAAGTTGTGCATCTGGCGTTTTACATGTGGATCAATTTAGTTTGTTAGAGTAATTGCCCTTGACTTAGTATAAATTTACAATTTTCAACTTGTGTCCTAAGTAGCTAAAAAATGTATTTGACCTGGAGTCATGAAACTTTACAGGAATGTTTGTCTGTATGTTTGGTTTTGCACCTAGGGCCTTTGCTTGTGGATTTATTCAGCATTTGTAGAGTTTCTGCCCTTGACTTTTTAAAAAAGTTTGAGATTTTCAACTTGCATTACTCAAAAGTGTTTGATCTAGAGTCATGAAACTTTACAGGACTTTGTGCTTACAAAACTGTGGAATGTTGGGGCATCCATTTTTAGTTTAAGTTCAACATTTATTCATTTTATTTTACATTTATTTATAAGGCCCTTTAGCTTTAATGAATGATGAAGAGTGCACACATTTGATATGCAATCTTTTTGTTTGCTACGTTTTTCAAAATTATGATCAGGAAAGAACTTGAATATAGTATTTCTGTAAAGGGTATATCTAACAAAATTTTGATGCAGAATAACCAGCTGTTATCTTTAAATTATTCACCTGGACATTGCTTTTCTGTCTAAAAGTGGCCTTTAGCTTTGTTAGATAAAGATTTTTTAGATAAATTGTTTCATATAATTGTCAAATCAAAAGAATGATGGTGGAAAATATAATTTGCTGTTGATTAGATACATAAACAATAAGGAAACCCCTCGATACCCCTAAACTACTGGTCCGTTCTCTAGTTATTTAAATAAGTAAGCAGACAATTTGTTTCCCGATCTTCTATTATTAGAATCGAACGTCACTGACACGCTATAAATAGCTCTTGGATGATATGATGCACCTTTCCAAGATAAAATTACTGAAATAATAAAGTTTGAAACAGCACATAATTGTTTTTCCAACAAAAAATAAGAGCTGAAGGCCGCTCTAAGTGTATATAACATGTTTCCCTATAAGATTTTATCAGATTAATGTATGTTATCTAACCTTTATCCTGCTAATTTTGTGTAACAAATTTAACCAGCTTTGAATCTGGAACAGTCCATTCAAAGTTAAAGAGATTGCAATAACAAAGTACAAAAATTGAGCTACCATCAGTGTAGGTCCTAGTCCTAGAATGTGCTAAAGAGCAGGCTGACTTTGCTCTATACTGGTGGCAAAAGCTTATCACTTTTAATTCCAGCAGAATAAAGGTTGATTAAAACTTATTTATTATTAAAGCAAGTTTAATTTAACAACTTCCATACTTTAACAAATGAAATTTATATATTCTGAAAAGTTGGCCTTATAAGCTCAAGTTGTAGGACATTTAATCTTTAAATAACATGATTGTGGCTGTTACTAGAACTGTTATTTTTGTGGGTCGATTGTTTTAAATTTCTTGCCAATGAACAACAAAAAATAGCAAATTAAAATACTAGTTTTTTTTAGGATGGAAAATTATTAGTGAGTCGTAACAGATAATAGATACATTTAAGAACTTTTTCAAGAAAAAAATTATCCTTTCATTTAATTTTTGTCCCCCGCCTTTTCGAAGAAAAAAGGGGGATATAGAAATAGGCTCCGTCCGTCTGTCCGTCCGTCTGTCCGTCCGTCACACTTTCGTGTCCGGTCCATAACTTTGTCATTTATGAAAGGAATTTGAAATAACTTGGCACAAATGTTTATTATAATAAGACGATGTGTCATGTGCAACAACCAGACCCCTACCTCCAGGGTCAAGGTCACACTTGCTCATTCAAGGTCAAAATTGCCTATTTGAGGGTATATGTCGTGTCCGGTCCATTACTTTCTTATCTATGAAGGGATTTTGTAAATACTTGCCATAATTGTTCACAATAATCAGACGATGTGTCATGCGCAAAAACCAGTCACCTACCTTCAAGGTCAAGGTCACACTTGGAGGTCAAATATTAACATAGTCTGTTACAGGGTATATTTCGTGTCCGGTCCATAACTTTCTTATCTATGAAGGGATTTTGTAAATACTTGCCATAATTGTTCACAATTATCAGACGATGTGTCATGCGGAAAAAGCAGTCACCTACCTTCAAGGTCAAGGTCACACTTGGAGGTCAAATATTAACATAGTCTGTTACAGGGTATATTTCGTGTCCGGTCCATAACTTTCTTATCTATGAAGGGTTTTTGTAAATACTTGCCATAATTGTTCATAATAATTAGACGATGTGTCATGCGCAAAAACCAGTTGCCTACCTTCAACGTCAAGATCACACTTGGAGGTCAAATATTAACATAGTCTGTTACAGGGTATATTTCGTGTCCGGTCCATAACTTTGTCATTTATCAAAGGAATTTGAGATAACTTGGCACAAATGTTTGTTATAATAAGACGATGTGTCATGCGCAACAACCAGACCCGTACCTTCAGGGTCAAGGTCGTACTTGTTCATTCAAGGTCAACATTGTCTATTTGAGGGTATATGTCGTGTCCAGTCCATAACTTTCTTATCTATGAAGGACTTTTGTAAATACTTGCCATAATTGTTAACAATAATCAGATGATGTGTCATGCGCAAAAACCGGTCACCTACCTCCTAGGTCAAGGTCACACTTGGAGGTCAAATACTTACATAGTCTGTTACAGGGTATATTTTGTGTCAGGTCTATAATTTTTTCATAGATCAAAGGATTGTGAAAATACTTCGCACAAATAGTCACTATAATAAGAGGATGTGTCATGCGCAACACCTGCATCCCTACCTCCAAGGTCAAGGTCACACTTACAGGTCAAAAATTAACATAGTCTGTTATAGGGTATATTTTGTGTTGAATCTAGAACTTCTTCATAGTTCAAGGGATTTTGAAATAACTTGGCACAAATAGTCACAATAATGAGACGTTATGTCATGCACAACACCTGCTCCCCTACCTCCAAGGTCAAGGTCACACTTAGAGGTCAAAGCTTAACATGATAGATTTTTAAATTCCGTGTTTCATTTTATTTTTTTAACAAATTTATTGTTACATTTGCAGATCTAGCATTGATCATAATTTTGGACTGAATGTCCTGAGATCCATACCTCAATCTTTTGAAATAGCACAATTTTATGCTTCATATAAAACTCCCAGGGCGGGGGACGTTGGTAACTCTGTTACAAATTCTTGTTAAAACTAATTTTCAGATGGATAATTTTAAGATTTATTTTTATAACATTAAATTTTGACAAATTTCAATTTCTAATGGTTTTACATTTCAGTTATTTTGTTGAACTAAACATTTGCATTAACCTTTTACCAATTATTTAATTATGAGTTTTTTTAAACAGATATTAATGATCATACATTTGTTAAAGCACATAATATACCAGTAACTTGTTGTCATTCAAACTTTTGCTAACTGCTTGTTTTAAACACTGTTATACATATTTATGATCTTTTCTTGTTTAATATTCTGTTCTTGCATGCATAATTTTCATTTGTTTACTTGTACAATGATTTATTTGTATATTTGTAACATCAAATGCATGTTTGTCATTCGTTGTTCACATTTTTAAATAAACAACATCTCTACTTAAACCCCTTCACCTATAGTGATGAGACTATACAGGAATGATCCTTGGATGGCCCCTTTAAAATTAGACACTTTTTAAAGGACATCTCATTCTTAACTGTTTAGAAGATTTTGATGAAACTATACTGGAATGATCTTTATAAAAACTGCTCAAATAGTTCTGGTCTGTTGAACAAGATGGCTGCCAGTGCTAAAAATAGAAAAAAAGTGTTTAAGTAGCTAAAATTAGGAAAACCTTTAAATGAGGACTTCTCCTTATCATTTGGTAAATTTTAATAAAACTACAAGAATGATCCTTGGATAGTTTTCCATAAAACATTGCTCAAATGAGCCGCACCATGACAAAACCAACATGATGGGTTTGCGACAAGCATGGATCCAGACCAGCCTGCCCAAGCACGCAGTCTGATCAGGATCCATGCTGTTCGCTTACCAACTCTATTACAAGTAGAGAAACTGATAGCAAACAGCATGGATCCTGATCAGACTGTGCGGATGCGCAGGCTGGTCTGGATCTATGCTGGTTGCAAACGCACTATGTTGGTTTTGTTGTGACGCGGCTCAAATAGTTTTGGTCTGCTGAACAAGATTACCACCAGAGCAAAAAAAGAAAATCCTTAAAACAATAACTTTTTATACCCCCGCACAACAAAGTTGTAAGGGGGGTATACTGGAATCAGCTTGTCCGTCCGTCCGTCCGTCCGGCCGTCCGTCCGTCCGGCCGTCCGGCCGTCCGTCGGTTTTTTCTTGTCCGCCCAATAACTTAAGATTCCTTTGACCCTTAGTCTTTCATATTTGGCATGGAGGTTAGTCATGATTAGTAGATGACCCCTATTGATTTTTGAGGTCACTAGGTCAAAGGTCAGGTCACCAGGGGCCTTGACTTCAAAAAGCTTGTCCGCCCAATAACTTAAGATTCCTTTGACCTACAGTCATCATATTTGGCATGGAGGTTAGTCATGATTAGTAGATGACCCCTATTGATTTTGAGGTCACTAGGTCAAAGGTCAAGGTCACAGGGGCCTTGACTTCAAAAAGCTTGCTCCGCCCAATAACTTAAGATTCCTTTGACCTACAGTCGTCATATTTGGCATGGAGGTTAGTCATGATTAGTAGATGACCCCTATTGATTTTTGAGGTCACTAGGGTCAAAAGGTCAAGGTCACAGGGGCCTTGACTTCAAAAAGCTTGTCCGCCCAATAACTTAAGATTCCTTTGACCTACAGTCGTCATATTTGGCATGGAGGTTAGTCATGATTAGTAAATGACCCCTATTGATTTTGAGGTCACCAGGTCAAAGGTCAAGGTCACAGGGGCCTTGACTTCAAAAAGCTTGTCCGCCCAATAACTTAAGATTCCTTTGACCTACAGTCGTCATATTTTGCATGGAGGTTAGTCATGATTAGTAGATGACCCCTATTGATTTGAGGTCACCAGGTCAAAGGTCAAGGTCACAGGGGCCTTGACTTCAAAAAGCTTGTCCGCCCAATAACTTAAGATTCCTTTGACCTACAGTCGTCATATTTGGCATGGAGGTTAGTCATGATTAGTAGATGACCCCTATTGATTTTGAGGTCACCAGGTCAAAGGTCAAGGTCACAGGGGCCTTGACTTCAAAAAGCTTGTCCGCCCAATAACTTGAGCTTCCTTTGATCTACAGTCGTCATATTTGGCATGGAGGTGAGTCATGATAAGTAGATGACCCCTATTGATTTTGAGGTCACCAGGTCAAAGGTCAAGGTCACAGGGACTTTGACTTCAAAAAGTTTGTCCGCCCAATAACTTAAGATTCCTTTGACCCACAGTCTTCATATTTGGAATGGAGGTTAGTCTTGATTAGTAGATAACCACTTTTGATTTTGAGGTCACTGGATCAAAGGTCAAGGTCATAGGGACTTTGACTTCAAAAGGTTTGTCCACCCATTAACTTAAGATTCCTTTGACCCACAGTCTTCATATTTGGCATGGATGTTGATCATGACTATAAGGTGACCCCTATTGATTTTGAGGTCACTGGGTCAAAGTTCAAGGTCACAGGGACCTTGACAAAAAAAAGCTTTTCTTCTCAATTGCTAAAGAATGTCCTGTCTGCAATGTATTGATTTTGACATTTTCACATTTGAAGCATGTAGAATACATAACTTAGCAATGCACTGGCTTAGTAACCTCAGATTTGGCAGGGAGGTTGTCCTTGCGCTCTAAATGGCCACTGTTGATTCTGACAAAGTGGTATGCGGGGGTATTCACGCCAAGATAGTGGCAGTTCTAGTTTGTTTTTATATACATAAAAATGACTTGTACGTCATGTCATATTTATAAAACCACTTTTCTTGTACAAAAATAAAATGTCTACCAGTCATTCATTCCCCCTTTCCTCGTTGGTTACATTAGTTCATTTAACATTCATCTGTTATCCTTAGACAAACAAGACTAAAGACGACTTAGAATACAACAATATTTGAGCCGTGTCACGACAAAACCATTATAATGGGTTTGCGACCAGCATGGATCCAGACCAGCCTGCCCATCCGCGCAGTCTGATCAGGATCCATACTGTTCGCTTACCAACTCTATTACAAGTAGAAAACTGATAGAGAACAGCATGGATCCTGATCAGACTGCGCGGATGCGCAGGCTGGTCTGGATCCATGCTGGTCGCAAACCCATTATGTTGGTTTTGTCGTGATGCAGCTCATATCATTTAAGACTTTCCGTGGGTAATGTTCTCTTCAAAAATTGTTTGAAGAATATCACTCTGCAAAGAATTAGTAGTGACCATAAAAAGTTTTGTTCATTGTAAGTATACTTTGTGTAGAGTCCATTATGTTATTATAATATAATAGGTATCTGTTCAACAAATTATTTTCTTTTAGTCCCCAACCTTTAGGGACACACTAAAATTTGTAAAATTTATATTTCTACCAATGTATTAATAATGCAATCCCGTTCATTTGAACCATCTACTCAGGTGAGTGATTAAGGGTTATCTTGTTCCTGTGAAGCTTACTGTTGTTTTTACTTAAAAAGCATTGACAATAGCTAAACAGTTTTTCTGTCTTATCTAATAAAATCTTTACCAATTTTTACTAATTTTCAGGTAAATTATGCAAGGAGTGCAACAAAAGAAATGAAACAAGTCACTGTGCTAAATGTGATTGCAACATGTGTGCAGTCTGCTTTCAAAGGGTATGTTTAATTTTCAACCGGTTGCAAGTTTTCAAATAGACATGTCAAAGAAATGGCCTGTTTTAAGTGGCCTGGTTGAATACTTGTGTCATAGATTTATCATTTTTGGTTGCAGCAGGGTAACTGTTATTTGGGATATATGCTGCAACCAAAAGTTGTGACAAAACAAGAAATACATAAAGACACATGTGTGGTTATTGTTTAGTGATTAAACAGTCACTGGTATTTCACATGTAGTGCATTCTTTATCTAATGTAAATGGTATACAGTTATTGATAATTATTGTATGGTATGTAGCTAAAAGAATTTGGAGGTCATCAGTATTTGAAATCTTAAACATATGTTTTGTATCAGTATTTTGATACCCTGACCCAGGGATTTACATATTTCAGGGGTCCAGTGGATCCAGACACAGTAATAATAGGGGTCCAACCATTAATTTAAGGGGTCTATCCACTAATTCAAGGTTTTCAAATTCTTATTTAAGCTGTCAATTTCCTTATTATACTCAATTATTTACTGATCATATCTTAAATGTAGGAAACACTAAGTGTATTGCAAGGTTTTATTATGATTTTAAGCAAAATCTAATAAGCAAGTTTTATATTTTCATGTATCCCCTTGGATGCACAAGGTTAAAAATTGTGCGTCAAAATGGACTTTTTGGGGGTATATTGATGCAGGATTCTGTATCTGGTAAATCTCTGCCCTGACCACTTAGGTTTGCCCTATAGAATTCCCTTGTCAGTGTGTCACACTGTCCTTACATAGTTTTGTATTGTATGTTAGCTTTGAATTGTATGTGAAAGTTAATATAAACTACATGAGTCATTAAATAGTCTAAGAATAATTGTCAGGATAGTTCTCAGATAGTTTCATGGCTAATTCAGTTATGTGTATTTAGAAAGTCTAAAAATGCTGTCTTTATCATGGTGCATAACTCTGTCAGTCTCCAATGAATTTGTGTCAAAATACCTAGGTGTATAAGTCCCTATACTGATAATTATTTGTATAAGTAAGTAAGGAGTGGGAAGTGAGTGACATTATGTTCATATTTTTGAGTATCAAGCTGAGATGAATTAGTGGTAAATGTCAAAAGATTGACTATTTTGAATTATTTTTAATGGCGATTGAACAATATTTGATAAGCACAAATGTTAAGGATGAAATATAAAAACAACATAAAATATTAAGAGATTGACACTCTCTTTTTTAGCTCGACTATTCGAAGAATATGAGAGCTATTGTAGTCGCCCCGGCGTCCGCGTCCGCGTCGGCGTCTGCGTTGGTTAAAGTTTTTTGTAAAGTCAAATATCTCAATTATTACTTGAGATATTCAATTGAAACTTACAATACTTATTTATAGTAACAAGGTACATCAGATTGACAAGTTGGATAACTCTGCCTACAATATTGACAGAATTATGCCCCTTTTTAACTTAAAAGTTTTGGTTAAAGTTTTTTGTAAAGTCAAATATCTCAATTATTGCTTGAGATATTCAATTGAAACTTACAATTCTTTTTTATAGTAACAAGGTACATCAGATTGACAAGTTGGATAACTCTGCCTACAATGTTGACAGAATTATGCCCCTTTGTTACTTAAAAGTTTTGGTTAAAGTTTTTTGTAAAGTGAAATATCTCAATTATTGCTTGAGATATTCAATTGAAATTTAAAATACTTTTTTATAGTAATAATGTACATCAGTTTGCAAAATTGCATAACTCTGCCTGCAATATTTGCAGAATTACTTGCCCCTTTGAAATTTTGGTTAAAGGTTAAAGGTCTTCCAAAGATATTTACTTGAAACTTTACACATAATTGTATGTACGCTCCCTTCGTCACTGACCAAGTTCCATAACTCTGTCTTGCATTAAGGCTGATTCATATCCCCTTTTCTACTTAGTCTCTTGGTTAATGTTTACATGCAAGTTTTACATATCCCAATAACTATTAAAGGTATTAATTTAAAACTTCACATATGCATTTAGGGTCATAATTGTAGGTCACTGACAAAGATCCATAATTCTATCTTGCATTTAGGCTGATTTTTCTCCCCTTTTTCAACTTAGAAATTCATGGTAAAATTTTGCTTGTAAGCTGTTATCTCAATAACTACTGAAGGGTTTGTGCCTTTTTTGGGACAATTTTATGCATTCATAATAATAAAGCAGTGATTTACTTGAGAAAACATCTTAATAACAAGCCTTTGTATCTTTTCTGTCAAATTTATGTATTCATAGGTAATTAGTATTATTATACTCAATAAAACACCCTTGTGACATTACCTTCCAAATAGTCAAGCCAATACTGTATAATTAGACTCTCTCTAAGGCCTATAACATGAATTTATAACAAAAAATTAGCCCTTTTGTGAACTTAAAAAATTTAACATTATCAAGGCTCTTTTACTATCAAGCACTTAGAATAGTCGAGCGTGCTGTCCTACAGACAGCTCTTGTTATAAACTGAACGTTACCAATAATGTCACTGTAATGGAAATAAATATCAATAGATATAAATACATGTGAAGTAGAAAAAAGTAACAATATATACATATCACGGTTCAGAACTGTTCACTATTTAGGGGAGAAGATGTGTAAGCGGCCAGATAGCTCAGTCGAAGAGCTGCAGTACGGTATTCCGAGGGTCCCTATTTCTAGTCCCGGTCAGGCTGCACATTTCTCTCACCTGTGACATTTGGCGCTCAAGGTGGGGCTGTGACAGTTCAGTTCACATTGCTCTGTAACTCTGTGAAATTCGAGGATGAATTTCAATAAAGCAGGGGAGTATGTCACGGTTCAGAACTGTTCACGATTTAGGGGAGAAGATGTGTAAGGGGCCGGATAGCTCAGTCGGTAGAGGCGCAGTACTGTACAGGGCTTGAGCTAGGGGGCGACTTGGGTGAAGAAGTCGCCTTCTGATGAGCGACTTTGCCTAAAACAAACTTCAAAGCGATTTTGAAGTCGCCGAATTTTTAATGATCTGTCATACCTGTGTACGATGCTAGGTCCGAGGGTCCCTGGTTCAAGTCCCGGTCAGGCTGCACATTTTTCTCACCCTTTTTTGTAAGAGTTTTATTTTTCAACATATTTATTTTCAGGTGCACAGTCTGTCACGGAGTTTACAGCTACACACTCCAATACCTTTAACTGAAGAAGGGTATGTACTTGATTTGATCTTGTGTATTTTTTTTGGGAGGGGGGGGGGGGTTAACACCTTGAAGAGAGACATTCATGCATAGTAATTGATTTGTGTGTCTGTGCATCTCTGTTTGAGCAGCTAGATAAGAATAATGTTTATTTACCATATTTATCTTTTTTATCACTACCATCCAGGGGTTTTTTTTACTAACAAATTGACACCGATAGTCGGCGTCTTCCCCTCGGTAAATAGCCAAGTTTTTTCCCAAAAAAAATTCTATTTTCCTTTAAACTGGATCAGATTTAATAATTACATGGTTTAAAATATTATTTTTCTTCATTTTATGCAGGATAAACCACCAATTGTTGTCCAAAATAACCAAAAACATTGCAGGAAACTGCAAGTACTGTCTCAACAGGTCTCAACATAGAGGCAGCCATTTTTTTTCTTGGCTATATCCCGTACTGAACGGTACTATTTCTGGAAATCAGTTGCTATCAAAATATTGTCATTTTCTTGGTTATTTTTAGTAAAGTAATATATTTTGTACTTCTTATTATGAAAATGACTTATATGGAGCCAAAGTGTGTCACATATACACTATTATACCTATACTGTATTAACTTTCATATAAAAATAGAAGTATAAAAACCATTCACCACCATACATATTAAGAAAATATGTTATACTGCAAAGAATATTTTGCATGATGATAAAGTTTTTAAGGGGAAAAAGATATAGTTGTAACTCTCTACTATGTAGTTAAGTATATAGTATAAATAACATCATAATAAAGTTTCCCCAAATTGACTTTTTTCGTATATTTTTTCCCCTCCCTACCAGCGTCCAGCGTCTTCCCCTTTTCCTAAAAAAAACCCCTGCCATCCTTGTTGTCAATATGCCATAACATACTTGTTGAGGGCTTATTCCAAATTTACCACTGAGGGCATATTCCAAATTTACCACTGCGGGCATATTCCAAATTGACCACTGAGGGCATATTCTAAATTTACCACTGCAGGCATATTCCAAATTTACCACTGAGGGCATATTCCAAATTTACCACTGAGGGCATATTCCAAATTTACCTTTGCGGGCATATTCCAAATTTACCACTGAGGGCATATTCCAAATTTTACCACTGAGGGCATATTCCAAATTTACCACTGAGGGCATATTCCAAATTTACCTCTGCGGGCATATTCCAAATTTACCACTGCGGGCATATTCCAAATTTACCAGTGGTAAGTTGCTGTCATTATCACTGGCAAACCAATTGGAACTTTGTCATAAGCCAATGATTTCAGCAAAGAATAGCAGATATTGAAGTATACATATATTTGATGACCCTTACTTCATTTCAGTAAACTGTTTTGTTTATTTTCTGGCAAATGCATAGTGGTAACAGTGTCCTGCCAAGGTTAAAATAAAATCAAACAAATGTCTCCTTAAATAAAAAAAAAAATATTGGGGACATTTTGAATATCAATAAGACATCAAAATTTTAAAGAAAAGATTACCTGATTTTATTTTGATGTTAATCTTTTTATGATGTTATGAACAGTTTTTACATATGTACATCACCACTGCTTGTGGAAAACTGACCAAAACATAGAGTTTATCTAAATTCAACAGTTCAACAAACTGTAACTTGTGAATAACTGGAAGGTTTATCATTATTATTAGATTATATGAATAACTTTCTCATGTTCTCATTCCTCCACGGGGCGTCCGTGGCCGAGTGGTTAAGGTCGTTTACTTCAAACCACTTGCCCCTCACCGCTGTGGGTTCGAATCCCTACAGGGACTTTGGATTCTTTCATGTGAGGAAGCTATCCAGCTAGCTTACGGAACGTCGGTGGTTCTACTCAGGTGCCCGTTCGTGCCTGAAATAATGCACGGAAGGGCACCTGAGGTCTTCCTCCACCAGTAAAGCTGGAATGTAGCGATATGACCTATACTGTGTCGATGTGACGTAAAACCCAAAACAAAACACTCCTCCACACTTCCAATGCCCTTAAAAGTCAAAGTCTTTGATTGCACCAACTTCAAGTTTCAACCGCCTCCGTGGTCGAGGGGTTAGAGTCGATGACTTCTAATCCAGTTACCTCTCTGGCGTGGGTTCGATCCCCAAGAGATGCTTTGGTAGTTTAGCTCGGAGGAAGGTAGTCTAGTACTGGTGTAACTCCAGGAACCATGGTTAAGAAACTACCCGCCTATATGACTGAAATACTGTTGGGAAAAGGCGTAAAACGAAACAAACAAACAAACAAACCTTCAAGTTTCACAGTCATGACATCATTAACAGTCTCTGGAAGAAGTCTATTTCTAGATGGAGTTTTAGTTTGGTTTTGTGCACTAAACCCCCTTTCACAATCAGATGTATGAATGGGAGCAGTCAATGCCAAAGAAGCTAATTTCAGAAGGTTTTTAGATAGTCCTCCTTGTGGTGTTTATTGATAAGATTCTGTAAAACAGCCATCTTGTCCCTAGGGTAACCTTCCTGGACTACTGTCTCTTTCACCTTAGACCATTCAACTCTTGTTTGACTTGGATTAATGATAGGTGTTTGGGTAACCTGGGGCTGTTCTTCTGTTAGAACTGATGTTTTCTCTTCTCCATACTGTTTAATTAATATGTCAATTTTGTCATTTCCCCAATCCATTCTGTCTTTACTAGATAAGAATGTGATGGGTCTCATTCCTAGAATTGCAAATGCATAAGTACTGTAACCCAACGAATATTCGCGACCAATTAATATTGGCGGATGGCCACGAAGCGCGAATATTTGTTTGCGCGAATAAGTCCGCTAGATTTCGCGAATAAATTGGAGAGAAATTTTTATCATGCAAAGCTACTTGACCGGATATAATTATTCGAATTATACGGGCACCTGTTAGGAAGTAATGAATTGTTATGAATATTGCCATAAAGCAATGAAAACACTAAGTAACTACTACTATTTTATAAATATCAAAAGAACTCTATGTCCAGACTTCCCGAAATACGTCGGTCCGACGGACATGTCCGATAAATTTTGATTAGGTCCGACAATTTTTTATTCCGGATCGGTCCGACTGTCCGGCTTTTATCCAAGTCGCATGTATACAAAATGGCGTCGCTAAAGGTGCCAAACGTGGGAAAAAACGAAAATCTACGTCAGCGGAGCGCGCAGTACAGCAGTAAAAGGATGAAAAGAATAGATCTGAGACAAAATTTAATGAAAAATGGAAGCAGGACCGTGAATCGTTGGTGTATGACAGGGAGGAGATGAAAATGAGTTGTACGGACTATGCCGATTTTTACGGCGAAAAAATTAAAACCTAAAAGTGTCTTAGGAATACAAACACAGGTTGTCCTTTGGTTTTGATTAATTTTATTCGGTCTGACAGATTTTGTTTCCGTCCGACAGATTTTTCATGGTTTGTCAGACCGAATGTCTGACACTTTTTTTTAACTTTCGGGAAGTCTGTATGTCAATATAGCAATCAAAATAAACATCCACGTTTAGAAATGAAGACGAACAATGCGTACATGTACATATATAGAGAAAATGTTTTGCTGAATTGTGATCACAATTCACTTACCAATACAATATAAGGCTAGCGTATTGTTAATCCCATTTAAGACACCAATAATTACCTCAATTATTGAAGATAAATAGTCGGCTAATGGATTTTACGGCCCCATCAGACTTTCCAATCCGCGAATTTTTTTTTCGGAAATCAAGAAAACGCGGAAATTAATATTCGCGAATATGTCCGACCTTGGCAAAACGCGAAAATTTGTATTCGCGAATATAAATTGGGTTACAGTAACATTTGTATCATCATCTGGGAACCTGTCATTCAGCTTCTCAAGAATTGATTGATTGATTTATTTGTGTATATATATATGTCATATTACAAAAAAACAAATTAAGACAATTTATCACAGTTATATCTATCACATTGTTTTTAACACAGTAATTAATTGAAAAATAATAACTTTACATTCATAATTAAATCAAAGATCTTGTTGACTTCAAGACAATATATACAACACAGGATAACCCATGAAAGTTCAATATAAAATAGAGAACTTATTTCCAATGGGGTCCTTTGATGGTAAAGATTATATTTTCTTGAGAACTGGCATTCAGGTCCATACTTAGAGATGATATACTGGACTGATGTTAAATTTCTAAGATCAAATAATATTAATTTCTATTGCACATTATGTTAATTACATATATCACATATTTGCAGGAATAATACTATGAATATGACTAGTTAACACACCAATGAAAGATATCTATTTATATACGAGGGTTGTCCCAAAAGTCCGTGACAAATTTTATAGCCGGTTCATTTTTAACGCCAATAGAAAATAATTCACACATATAACCGTTAAGTTTATTATTTAACATAACAACAAATCATTTACAAAAAAATTACCCTAGTTACTTAGAAATTTTCAGTATTAACGACATTGGTTTGAGTTGCCGGCGCACGTCAAATAATTTACATTTTGTTATGAATAGGCTGAAATTAATTACGTATATTTCAAATATCTGATGATGTGTCTGCACAATGTCACGTTGACTTCCTCTGCTGCTATGTTTAAATCATCTCTGAAAATTTTAGTTAAATAACTTAAAAAACGAAAAAGATACGAATAAATGAAAATATCTCATATAAAATAGGAAAGTTAAAATGGCGACGTTCGAAGAATTTGCGGCGCAGTGAACATGTCACTCAGGTTTCATGACTATTTCGAGATGACACATGTAACGATTTTCAACAAATATACCAAATATAACAGTTTAGCAACATATTCTGAGCATTTGTGTACAAAAGGCATGAACGGAACCAGAGTTTTGCGCTACAAAAAGCGAAAATAAGGAAAACACGGATAGGAAGACCGATCTTCGTCGCCTATTTCCTACAGCTAAAAACAGGAGTAACGAGACCGGAAGTTTGCGTATAGCAAAAATTAATGTATGCCATCCAAACATTCAACAGACATTAACAACCACA